ATTGAAATCTCAAGGTCATCTGATCAGCCCATGCTGGCAAAACGTGAAAACCAAAATACGGCATTATCAAGCGAATTTTGGGGATCTAACATCCCCAACACTCCTCCCCTTTTTAATAGCGTGTTCTTCTGGGGTCGACTTGCATCTTGACTATTGTTCGCCGCTGTCTGAGGGGATACCTTCGGGAACGAAGAACAGCTTGCTGCTGCGTTTCTTCTCGTGGCGGGGCTCTCGGTAGGTTGAAGGTATCAAGCAAGATGTCAAGGGGAAGGCTTTCTGCTCTTGATGGGCGATCTGGGGCTAGCCGTCTGCGTATCTGATTCCGATGACGTGACCATTTATCACCTCCTACCTCTACTTCGTACATAACTCGACCAACCCTTCTGACCACTCTCGCTTCTACCCAAGGACCATGGTTCGTTCTGTAGTCGCGGGCAAACACAGGGCATCCCACTTCGTAAGCGGATTGTCTTTGCTGCTTTGTCTCTACTGATGAGGGTGCATTAGTCGGATGCATCAGGCTGTGGATCGTTTTCAGTCTTCTTCCCATCAGGATTTCAGCTGGGGACTTTTGCTCCGGTAACAATTCATTTGGTGTTGTCCGATAGACGTACAAGAAATTTTGTAACGTTTCGGATGGCGTCCCCTCCCCTTTTGACTTAAGCAGTGCTCTTTTAAACGTATCCACAAACCTTTCCGCCTGCCCATTCGATTGCGGGTGGTATGGTGGCGAGCGTAAGTGTTTAATGGCTAGCCGTTGACAGAAATTCTGGAATTGGGAAGAGGTGAATTGAGAGCCATTGTCGGATACGATCACATCTGGTATGCCATTTCGTGAGAAAATTTCAGTTAGGAGCTGCATAGTCTTAGTTGTAGTGGGCGGCATAACGGGCCTGATTTCCGGCCATTTAGAAAAGGCGTCGACGACAATTAAATACATAGTTCCATTTATTGGGCCAGCGAAGTCGACATGTATCCTGGACCAAGGATGCTCGGGTTTGGGCCATGAAACCGGCGGAATTTTGGCATTCATCTTTGCCGCCTGCTGACACCGCATGCATTTTTCAACCGACGCTGTGACATGTTGATCCATGTGAGGCCAGTATGCATAACTCCTGGCTATGGACTTCATTCGTTTAATCTCAGGATGACCAAGATGGAACTGTTTCAGAACTTTTGCACGAAGGGATACTGGCACCACTACTCTTTCACCAAACATCAGACAATCGTTCACGATGCATAGTGACTCCCGCCGCTGATACAGTTGCTTCATGTCACCTTCAAACTTTTTCGACGGCCAACCGTTAGTGACATATTTCATCGTCATCTTGATGATGGGGTCGTTTCTAGAAGCATTTTGTATGTCTGTTGCAGACACCGGTAATGCGCGAACTGCGGTTGTCAGATAACATTCTGCGTGGTCTTCTACTGACAGAGATGCGATCACTATGTTTTCCTCAGCCGTCACTTGATCATTAATGAGTCGTGACAAAGCGTCTGCTTGACCGAATTGTAGAGTACGTCGATATTGGATTTCGAAATCATACCCCAAAAGTACCAAGGCCCATCGCTGAAGACGATTTGCAGAATGGGCTGGAATGCCAGACTTTGAACCAAATATTGCTAACAGAGGCTTGTGATCTGTGAGGAGCGTGAATCTCCGACCGTACAGAAACTTATGGAAACGGCGAACAGCAAATACAAGGGCAAGAGCTTCTTTCTCTATCTGGCTATACTTCTTTTCTGCTGGGGTCAGTGTACGGGATGCATGCATAACGGCTTTTTCTGACGCGTCTGGAAACTGATGTGAAATAACAGCACCTAGGCCGTATGCTGAAGCGTCTGCTGCTACGATGATAGGCATGGATGGGTCGTAGTGTGTTAATAACAATTCCGAGCTAATTATAGACTTGAGTTTACCGAAAGCCGCGTCACACTCTTTAGTCCAGTTCCATGTGCTATGCTTCTGCAGTAGACAATTCAATGGAGCGCGAATATCATGCATCGAGGGAACAAAGGCTGAATAATAACTGATTAAACCGAGAAAAGATCGTAATTCGGAAACATTAGTGGGAGCGGGCATCAGTTTGATAGCTCGGATGTTGTCAGGATCCGGTCTGCGACCGTCGGCACCAAAGATGAATCCCAAATACTTTACCGACTGCAATAGAAACTGGCATTTTTCTGGGCGTAACCGGAAACCATTGTCACTGATGCGTTGTAGTACCAATGTCGTGCGTTCCCGTAGCTGTTCTAACGTCTTCGCAACAATCAAGATATCATTGAGATAAGCTGCAACCCCTGAGATATCTGACAGGATAGTATCCATTAGTTGTTGGAAGATAGATGGGGCAGTCTTAACTCCAAAAGGTAGACGGTTATACTGGAACAACCCGCGATGAGTGTTGATAGTAAGCAGCTCTTTAGATGCTTCATCGACTTCCACTTGAAAATAAGCATCAGCTAGGTCAAGCTTTGCGAAGAACTTTCCTCCATTCAGCATAGTGAACAGATCTGCTGGGACTGGCAGAGGATAATGATGCTGTTCTAGAGCTGCGTTGAGACCTGTAGAGAAGTCAGCACATATACGTATCGTGCCGTTGGCCTTCTTGATAACGACTATAGGTGCTGCCCAACTGGAGTAAGAACCGGGAGTAATAACTCCTTGTCGTTGAAGGCGATCCAGCTCTTCATCTACTGTTGCTAATGTAGCATACGGTACCGGTCTCTTTGGACGAAAAGCAGGCTTAGCCCCATGTTTCAACCGAAGTGTTGCTTTCATAGTAGTGCACCGACCTAATCCAGGTTCAAAAATGGTTGAAAACTCTGTCATCAGCCTCTTCGTATATGCTTCGGGGTCATATGGTTGTGTAACCAGGTTGCATATGGTATTTAGCGGGACATCAGCCAATTTTAGCTGGTCGAACCAATCTAAACCAAGTAAATTTAGATCGGCTGGCGTTATATAGCATACCCCAGTAAACGACGAATCTCGGAAAGCAACTTTACATTCCAATTGTCCTAACAGACGAAGATAATTACCACATGCTGTACGAGGCTTTTGTGTTGTGTGCTGCAGGCTTGAGCTACCCAATTTGGTCCAATTTCTGCGTGAGAGGATAGTAACATCAGATGCAGTATCTATTTGCAATCTACACAAATAACCGTTAATATTAAGAGTAATAAATTTCCTCTCACCTGGTGATGAGCTTTGGCAGGAAGATATTAGGCTCAATGCATTGGTACTGGATCTAGGAACAGGCTTCTTAGCACTTCTGGATCGCTTTGGCTTTTTCTGTAGGCAAAAGGCATCTTTATGACCGATGACTTTACACTTCCTGCATCTATGCTGCCTAAATGGGCAGTTCCGTACATAGTGCCATGAGCCGCAGTGCCAGCAAGCAGAAGGGGGATTCATTTTGGGTTTTTGGGCAGAATTGGAGCGGGATGAACTGGGTGTAGCATGGGCAGACTTGTTATGATAAGGTGGCTGCTGTACCAAATGAATTTCAGATCGGCATGAACTACCACTCTGCACTATCGTTGAGTCTCGTTGCAGGTTAGTGAGACGTTGGTACTCATGAGCCATTTCATTAAGCGTAAGCTTCGGATCTTGCTCCAAACGACTTAGTAGCCTTGTTCTAATATCACTGAACTTACTCGACTGGAGGCTGCAGATGAGTATAAGGGCTTTGAACTGATCTTCCGACAAAGACTTCAACCGAAAGCGTTCGCATTCACGGTTGACGATGCCCACATGTGTAAGAAAGTCATCATCTTCGTTCATAATTAGCTTCAAACATCGATATCGAGTGTTAAACAGTGACGAGTTATCGCCAAAGTGTTGGCTTAAAGTCTGAACAGTCTCAGAAAATGAACAATCTCGTGGGTTCAGAGGCAGAATCAAATTGCAGTACTTATCCAGCTCACTTGCGCCCAACTTTCGAAGTAGCAGCCGAACCTTCCAAGCATCATCTTGGTTGGCGAAATCAAATTTAAATAAATCTTCATAACGCTGGAACCACATGTCAAAAGTGACATTTGCATCAGGATCATAATGAAATTCAGCTATGCTATTTGCGATGCCGTCGACTGATGGAGCTGTGGTTGCATTAGATGAGCTGGGCTGTGTGGAAGGGGAAATCTTCATGTCTGTCAACATCTGCATCAGTTTCAGCTGCTGCTCAAGTAATAATTCAAGTTTGGCAGGATCCATATTTCCAAAAGCACCGTCGCCACTGATAAGTTCGTCACTTAGTATGCTTGAGGCTATTACGACTTGACCTTAGTCGATAAACGCGAACGAGACTTTTACCAGCTTCCAGCGAGGCTACCGTGAATACCCAAAGTCGAAATAGAAGGCTTTGTAAGCGTAGAAGTATATTCTACAAACACCCAGCAATCACAGTACAATCAAGCATACAACTCTCGTTTATTTATACAACATAAGAACGTCCTTGAGACAGTTAAGAAAATAGCATACTAAAATGCACAGCAGCCAATCACAGCCATGGATTTTCCAGGTGGGAATTGAAATCTCAAGGTCATCTGATCAGCCCATGCTGGCAAAACGTGAAAACCAAAATACGGCATTATCAAGCGAATTTTGGGGATCTAGCATCCATAACACGGTTCCAGTAATCAGTCGTTTGAGACGTTTTGTTACACGATTCGGAACCGGTCATAACGGTATAGGTTTATTTAGTGTCTAGTTTCATTTTAAATTTGAGGCTCTAATACTTTTTATGTAACCATTCTGTTTTCTTAAATCATATTCTCAATGCTCAGTTTTTCTCGTTATCATTGCTACTACATTATTTCGACTCTTTTATTATTCATCTTGTCGTACTCATGTAGTAAGACAGACAACTTGATTCAATGCACATTTTTGGCACACTCTGCTGATATAAATTCGTTGACTTTTATTGTCTGAATTGTTTTAATACATTTGTGTTCATTTCTGATTAATCTACTTTCATTCCATTTTGTTTTATCTACAGAATTATGGTTTAATCCGATTATCTGATGAATTAGATGAATTCTATTCTACTCGATCTAATAATAATAATAATCTACATCGACATGAAACAGTTTGTAATTCATTACTTGATTTAAGTTGTTCACTTGATCAACATGTTGGTGAAAATTGTTTTGTTGAAGGTCAATTATTACAAATTGTATCTTTACCACAAATATGAAATTATTATTATTATTAGTGTGTTTGTTTGTCTTTTTTTTTCTGGTTCTGATTTTGTTTAGTTTTTGTTTTAATGATGATATTGAGCATATTGAACATGTTGAACAAAAGAACCATAATCATCACACTTCATTGTCTGTTGTTGTTGGTAGTGTTGGTGTTAATTTTTTTACCGACACATTCTTTTTTCTTTTCTTCAATGATTTCATTTGTGTGTATATGTTTGTTTATATTTTCTAAAGTTCAACTGAAGATGAATTTTTTTTTAAAAAAAGAAATACTTGTACAAAATAGTTTCTCCTTTTTTTTCTTCTTCTTCTTCAATGGAATGTATTAACAATGTTTGTGTAGTGTTTTTTTGTGCTCACTAAGTATATATATAGACCAATAATAAGTAAATAGTCTTGTTTTTTTTTTAACACATTGTTAATTTATTTTTTATTATAATTATTCAAAACAAATACTATTCTAATTGTAATCTATTGTAAATCTTTTCTGTTATTTGTTTTTCATTTTTTTTCGACAGTTTGTTTGAAGTGATGAAATTATTTTGTAGTTCAATGTGTGATGTTGTGTTGTGTTGTACATCATCGAACAGAGTGTTTTTTTGTTTTTTGCTTAATTGTAAAACAAAAAGAAACTTTCATTATCTTGAATATATATATACAAGAATGTTGTGGACACACACGAAACATCAAATATGCCATTCTAACAGTCATCACTTAATGTTGTGTATACTCAAGATGCATTGGGACGCCGTATTCAAACAAGTCAAAAACTCATTGCGTTGAGAAATAAACGAAGCCGTTCTACAGTTTGTTTTTTTCAAAAAAAAAACGATTGGGAAACGATTGATTACTCAATGTTATGTAGTAAATTGAATTTTGAATTGTAATCCAATGGAGGTTATGGACTATGCAGTTCACTTCAAGTTTATGGGTACGCTTTATTAAACAAAAATGCCTGTACTACAGGAAAAAACAGTTTTTTGTTCTTTCTTGCGTCTCATTGATACAGCAACTCAGCTATGATGAATGTGAAAATTATTGTAAACTGAACAAATGCAATTTTAACAATCAAATATTCTCCATAATTTAAACATCATTACATTGAAAGTTTTGAATTTGGAGATTTTTTGCTGTATGTTGAGCAAGTCTTCAGTTTACCTGAGTCAATAAATTCGTAACATATATTACGATTTCATCCATAATATTAGGTCAAATGGATGAAATTCTCTTTAATGAATGGAAAGATGGATACTCTTTTACCTAATCAATTTCTTGAATATCAATTCGTGAGGAAAACTATATTCATGATTGAAAAGTTTGGTATTTTCACCTTGAAAGAAAACAAATAAAGTTTTGTTAAATGCTTTTACGATATCTTCTAATTTCTTACTTGACAGCGTCAATGAATTGATGTGATATCACGCTTGTTTCATGTCGACAATTTTATATGTCAATATTACACGATTTGATTGCAAGGAAGACGTTAATTATCGTCGATATCAGTGTCTTGTGACAAATTTTGCAGGTATATAACCTGAGTTCTAATGTTGTCAGTAACGGTGATACACTTTGGTTACAAATTGGAAGATATTTTTACAAATAGTAAGTAAGATATCCTGATACTTGTCAATACATGATAGCATCCCCAACTTATTTTCAAAAGTACCTTACACTGATGTAATACTCAGTTGATAAGCTATTTACATGGAACCTGATCGTATATGAAAAAATTTGGTAGCTCAGCCAGAAAGGAAATCTAGACAAGTAAGCACAGTACAAACTAGTTGGATTACAATTACATCGTAATATTGCTTACTTATCAGTGATTAACTACTAAGAACTAATCGCCCACCGTTTATTCCACTATCTATCACTTATATCCATGTAATTCTGGAGCCTGGTTTCAGCTTTACAAGGATTGGATTTTCATCAGTCCTCATTAACAGATGTGCAACTTGAACAGATTAGGGGTCAATATATCCATTTTATATATATGAACACGATTGAAACTCACATCCAGTCGACGAATCTTTTACACTGGATTCCATCACTAATAACAATTCGTATATATTCCCTCTATACTGTATTTGTAACCTTGAACATTTTGTTATTTTCACTTGGAACACTTGGAACAACCTTGACCGATAAACAAATTTGTTACATTTTTTGTTGGTATACAAATACAATTTAATATATTGTTATTTTGTTTTGAATATTTATTTTTCTAGGAAAAATATAGCTAATTAGTCAAGTTGATCCTGATCAAATATCTATGTTTTGATCAATAATTGAAATGCAATAGTCGAGTAATTGTAGTAGTAGTAGTAGTGTAGTGAAGGAGAACACAGGTGAGGGAAACCGAATTGTATTTAACGAAAATTACAGAGTTACTCAGTAAAATAGGAAAACCATATCATAAATCGTCAGTTTGCGAAATATCAATCCATCATATCGAACTGGACTGTTCCTGTTGCAAAACATCAATCGATTTTCTGACATTTCAATGTTCATGCGTTTCATACAAATCCCATTGTGTTCCCACTCTTCCTTTCTTGATCTTCCCTCATCTTCTGCTACCAGACATTACGTTTTTACTCGCGTCAATTACTACTTATAAGTAGCGCGCACCACAGTAGTAGTAAACAGGGGGACTGTATTTTCTTGGGTGTCAAGTAACAGAATAATTATTTATCCCAGTACATTCACTACTTGTTGAACAAATGTCATTTAACTTTTAGTGTACAGTGAGAAAACTCATCAACATTTTCTCTGTAATATAACTACTATAATATCTTTGGGGAAAATAAACCTTCAGATTTCATAAATAATTTTTTCAAAATAAAATCTTATTGTCTTTTTTATCACTTCAATCATATTGTTTTTTATAATTTATTGTTGAAACAAAACAACAAAGTGTATAATTTGTGAAAAAATTATCAGTAAATTACAGTTCACCTCACTAAATGATACTTCATCACTTTGATATTGACCGAGAGTCCTGGGTTCGAATCCTGTGAAGTGCAGGAGTCGTGGATGCGCACTGTTGATGAGTATTCCCATACCAGGAGGAAACAGCCATCTTTCAGTGCTTCCCGGATTCTAATGGTGGTGGTCTAACAATGATTGATTGATGATTTCAAATGTATAAAAGAGATAATGTAATTATTTAGTGATCGGGTTATTGCTTAACATAATAAGATAAAGTTAATCATACTTTCCTTCCGTCTTCATTAGTCAAATCGGAAACGTTTAGTAGCGATTGACTCTGTGTAGTTTTTGTCTGTTAATTGTTTAAAATATATTACTGACATCCACTGCAAACACTGTAGTATGCTAAACATTTCTTAATAACTGTAATTTTAGTTTGTATGCAACTGTTGATAAACTGAAATAGAGCGAATTCATTTTATTCTGTGAACCTTGTTCTCGCTCTCTCTATAATGTCTATAATTTAGGGGCTTATTTGTTGACTGCAATTATGTTTTTAGGTCGAGTTTAATCATCAGCTATCGTATATAATCTGTAATTGTGATCACCTGAACAAGATTCTGACTTGAGATGAATGCGTTTACTGGTATGGGTGTTTGCTATGACTATGAGAAAGTTACCATCTAGTTCTTATTGGAACAAACAAGACTCCTATGTCGATGCAAGTAAGATGAAGTCTTATTTATTCACTGCATACTAATGAATATAACACAAAAGTACTGATACAAAATTCCAAATTCACAGTCAAAAGATAAATACGAACATATTAGTGAGCAGCAGATGACATGACTTAGTCAATAATTTAGTGTATATATATATTTACTCCGCCTGGAGCCCCTCTGTGGCTACTACCGGCCCCAAGCCCGGATATATATATACAACTGACTAGATCAATAACTTCTCCTACAACAGCACATCGTTAAATAATGAATTTTTTCCTTATGTTAGCGGGACATAAATGGGATAAAGCATGATTGCGTTAGCTGCACTCTGATTGGTTAAGAATTAGCCCATCATCGATAGTAGATATTTGAATAACACTCCAGAAGCTTCTCATATATAAACTATAAAGATTCTAACATTGTTCCTATTTAGCCTTCTCTTTGGCTTCTTACTTCCATTTAACCTTGCTGTTTGGAATATAATCTATTTCCTGTTCAACCGTGTTCTGATTTGGGGACTTGTCGAGTGGATTAGTGTCTGAGAGTACTAAGCAATAGGAATAACTGGGTTCTACTAAGAGAGAATTATAACACGTCCTAACAGTTACTCTTGGTTTTATTAAATTAAAACTTATTCAGTTACGGGGAAAAATTCCCATATTTTGTATATTTACCAAATCATTTAGTCATTTATAACATAGAACTTCACACGTACGTACATCAGTTCAAGTTGCCCTTAACACATTAGCACAGAGATGCAGTTATCAATTCAAATCCCATAGTAGTAGCAGTGTGGTGTGAGCTACTTATAAGTAGTATATGACGTCCGTGTCAACGTAATGTCTGGCAGCAGAAGATGGGGGAAGATCAAGAAAGGAAGAGTTAAAAAACAATGGAATTTGTATGAAACGCATGAATAGTGACAATGGATTGATGTTTTGCAACAGGAACAGTCCAGTTCTATATGATGAAATGATATTTTGCAAATGAACGATTTACGATATGGTTTTCCGATTTTACTGAGTAACTGTGTAATCTTCGTTAAATACGATTCGGTTGCCCCACCTGTGTTCTCCTTCACTACAGCAGTAGTAGAATTATTAGCAATAATCGGAGAGATTAGGGTTCGAAGATACTATTCAACAAGTTTAATCTAGTGAAATGGAAAGATAAACGTGATGAAGAATCCAGAGGATTAGGATTTGAAGAAAGTTAAAGAATGGATGCACCTGAGCCACTGCAACAATATTTACCAAAATGAATTACATACAACATGTTTGTTGGGGATGTTAGATCCCCCAAATTGGCTTGATAATGCCTTATTTTGGGTTCTACGTTTGTCAGCATGGGCTGATCAGTTGACCTTGAGATTTCAATTCCCACCAGGAAAATCCATGGCTGTGATTAGCTGCTGTGTATTTTAGTGTGCTATTTTCTTAACTGTCCCAAGGACGTTTCTATGTTGTATAAATAAACGAGA